GAAAATGTGTCATTTGTGACAGTGTTAATGACTCTCTACGACTTTATGCTAAGTGAAATAAGACAAAGAAAATACTTACCTGTAATCTCATAGTTTGAAAAGTTGCACACAAATGAACAGAACAGTAGTTATCAGGGACAAGGAGAGGGAGAAAATAGAGAAAAAAAACTCAAAGTACACAAACGTGCAGTTAGGGAGAACAAATAGGTCTAGAGCTTTAATGTACAGCATGATGACTATGGTTAATATTACATTGTGCAATACATCCCCCTGAGGTTGTGGTTCACAGTTTGCGGATTTTTCCTCAGAATCTAATAACTGTTTGCAGAAATCCCTGCAATTTTATGGAGACTTCAAATAGCCTCTTTTTTTTTTGCAGGAGGTTTGTAGGTAGCCAATCTAAGAGAGCTATTCAGTCTTCCTTGCTGCGGATTGGTTGCTGCCGTGCAAGTCATCTCTGGCAGATGCACCAGCATTCCTGCACCATGACAGATCACTGCACTGGGTGTAGTGCTCTCCAGTGTTATCGGTTTTCTTTTTAAAGCCCTAAGACCCCGAAGATGCCTCCAAAATGCCCGGCAACGTTTAAGATTTCTGGCAATGAGCCTGAGCACCAGAGGAAGCTTGGAACACCTCAAAAGGTTGAACTACTGTATACTGTGTTTAATGATTACAGTACTGTATACAGTATTTTATTAAGTTAAATCACATGACTGTGGGAGATATAGCATATTTAGGATTTAAACTGTAAAACTAGGCATTTATAGGCAAATTTCTGACTATGTCTGAAATGTTTGCTTTTTCAGAATTTTCTGGTACTCTAGGGGTGTAACCCCCACGAATTTTGGGAGTCTATTGTATTATTAAAATTTTGCTTGCTAAGACAGTAGATTTTAGGTGTTTTTATAACACACAAAAATAGTAACTATAGAAGGTGATGAATACGTTTTTGTAGTAGTCACTTCACTATGTATATATAAAAGAAAATATCATGCTGTACAACTTATATATACAATAATCTTATTGATAATAAAAGTTAAAGGCAAGCTTTCCTTGTTTTTACTTATGTCATTTTAAAATATATATATTTTGGTTATATTAGTGTAGGAGACCGTGACTGACCTCCATTGTATATTAGTAGCCATCTTACGTGCCTTTCCCTGTAAGTCAGGACTGCCTACCTACCGTTGCCTAGCTACTCCCGCCTCAAAAACTAGGACTACCCACCCTTACCTAGTTACTCCCACCTTTGTCGGGTTATTTGGTTATTCCCGCCTTAGAACTTCCGCGTTTCTCCGTGCCGTATATAAGCACGGCACTTCCCGCTAATAAACGAGACTTGATCAGAGCACTGTCTTCTCTCCATTCTTCGTGTCTCTTGTCCCTTTATAATCTCCACTCCCCCTCTAGGGTCCTAGTTGGCTGTACCCGCGGGCCCGGACATATTAGCATTATTTTTCTTGTATGCCATACTGAGTGCCAGATTTCATGGCAGGTACAGATGAATAAGTATTTGCAAAAATGAATGCATCTGATTCTTACAACTTTGCAGCGCAGTTAAAATGTTATCTCTGCATTACAGGTGGGGAACCATGAACTCGGATAATTTTTAAATAATGTCTCAGACTTAGGTAGTAGAAGAACTAGAATCAATATCTTTCATTTTCAGGTTTGGTTTGTTTCATTTCATGAAAGGACTCTCGGTCTTTACTTGTCAAATAAGAACTAAGGGACATGGAAGATAGATGTGGAGAACTTATTCAGAACATCAAGTTCTTAGGTGCAATCTTCATCTCAGACCTACCCAGACTGAAATCATCTTTAAATGCATTTTCACAGGAGACAATGTAAATGATTAAACCAAGTCATATCAATAAAGGAAAGGAAGAGAGAATAACAATGTAGAAAAAAGCATGTTTGCCCTGATAAGACTGAATCTATTCTTGGTTGATAATTTTTATGCAATCTTCCACGAATCTATGCACAGATATCACTTAAGTAACCAAAATGAAATGTTAGATTGCTGAAAGAAATCAGTTTTACTATGAAAATAATTGTTTTTATTCCTAGCATGTACACTCTATTTTTATTTTATAAGCTGTAGGTATTTAAATATTATCTCTTCTCAAAGAGTAGAAACAGTTCTATTAAGTAAGCTTAACTTATGCTCCAAAGTACAAAAATAGCCTTGGAGAGCTGGGTATTTAGAGTAATCATTTGCATGTCTAGTTAAGGAAGTACGCCATAATCATTAAACACATGAATGGTAACAAGCCATTTCCTTAATGAATCCTCATTAAGGTATATTAAAGCCAGCTTTATAAATAGCCTTTAAAAATCATTTGGATTTACAAAATTTATGTAGCCTGCCAGATTAGCAGAGTTCTCAACTAGATTCTAGCTTTCTCAGTGTTCTGAGAAAATCACTCTCCTCATTAGCACTTTCTTTTCCATTGCTGCATCTGATAACCCCTTTCTTGAGAGCTTGTTTGGATTTTCTAGCAGGGGAGCACAGCTACTCCCATACCCTTGACCAAGGAAGGGCTGTCTATGCGGGTGTGGTCATCCTCTTTGACTGAGCATGCACCTTCAGGAGGGACGCACATGAAGCATTGAGGGATGAAGGGGACACCCGCCTAGCCCGCCAGATCTGCCGAATCAACCCTGACCATCAGTGGGGTGACAGATGCCGCAGCCAGATCGCCCTCACATCCCCGATAACCCCTTTCTAAAATCCTCAGTTTTCTTCTCAAGTTCTGTTCATTATTCATTTCCTCTCTGTCCACTATTGAGATGGGACAATGATGAGTGTGCTTTTCTTAATAATACTTGTGTTTAGGGAATATTATCTTGGATTATAAGTGTGTAATTGTATCAAAAAAACTATGGACTAGCTAGATTGACACAATTCCAGCACCCTCATTTATTAATACAGGCATTCCCGTAATCATAACTTTTGGTCCTTGAGGCTCTTGATTTTCACTCTGAACTTTCCTTGGACAGCTTTTTAGCCACATCTAGGTGCTGCTTTGTCTCTGGCAGCTCAGCATGCTGAGGTTGTGGAGGTAGAGAGGGAAGGCATGAGATCAATAGATATTATATTTATTGAGACTCTAACACAATGCTTAGGGTTTATTTGCTGTATGTGAGTAACTGGAAATTCTGAATGAAATTAGTGATGTAAGAAATAATTTAGTTAAAAAATCATGCATATGTTATATTTGAACAGAACAGCGGTGGGAAACCTATGGTGCACATGCCGCAGTGGACATGTAGAACCCTCTCTGTCAACAGGTGAGCCAAGTTGCCCTAGCACCCAAGCATCACATAATAGTTGTTTTCCTAAAGTAAAACCTCAGTATTCAGATCTGGGTGCAGTGTTGCCACACTATATTAAATAAGTAGGTTTTGGGTTAAGTCTGGGCACTCAGTCTCTAAAAGTTTTACCATCACTGGAATAGAATCTTCAAGACATCTAAGGGAAACCTAGGAAATTGAAAGAATAAAAGTAGATTTCGAGATTACTAGTGTCTAAAACCTTAATTCAACTGTACAGCAGTGATAGTAAAGATGCTAGAAGTCTATATGATATTTAAAAGAAAAATATATAAATAATAAAACTGTAGCTGAACTAGTTGAACATATACCGCCAGATGAAGAAGTTATAATGTAAGAGATTAAGAATAGACCCATGATAAATGTATCTGCTTGGGTACAGTAGATCCTGGGCCTTATTAGTGTTTTTGGAAAGAGAACTAGGGTCTGGAGACATATCATCTCTTTGAACTTTCTCTGAAAGCAAATCAAATCTGTGAAGCTGCATTGTGTCTGTTATGTCTCACCACACGGGAAACAAGGCCCACAGAATTAGAGGACTTTTACCAAGACACTGGAAATTTATGGAAGAGCTTGAATGATATTCTCTGTGTCCTATTTTTCAATATCTATGTTTTCTAATTAAGTTTACTCACTTTGAGACCAAGAGGAAGATGGAGGACGCTGGTCCTCACAAAATAAGGATTAGGGACAAGGATAATTGGTTTATCAAAAACAGTTGTGGGAAGTCAGAGCATCTTGGATGGTTGGGGCTAAAGCCTCACTTATTCGGTAAAATGAGTTATCAGATTGTGTTCAATGTCCATTGAAAGTGCATTTTTCCAGGCCAATCTCTTGTATAAATTACATGTTAAAAACAGATCAAAATCTAAAGTTTTAAAATAATTTTGGCATATTAAACTGTTTTTAAATGTCACTCCTTGTGAAATATGCGTTGAGGCAGCCTGAAACAATATTAAGAGAAAAGAAAATGTTTATTGCATATATTCATATTTTTTGAGAAATACAAAAGCAATTTAGATAATATGGCTGCAGAAGGGTTTTCTTAAAGCTTTATTGTGGCATAATTTACATACAAAGAGCTACATATAAAGAGAGAATATAAATTGAAAAATTGTGTTATGTGCATAAACCTGTGACTCCACCACCACAAACAGGGTAATGAACATACTACTTTTTAGAATTTTCTGTACCTCTTTGACATCCTCTTACTCTTTTATCCACGTCTAAGCACTGATTTCCTCTCTGTCACTGCTCATTAAATTGGATTCCCTAGAATTTAATTAAAAGGAAACGTATAATATGTCTTTTTATAGACATATCCTTTCATTTTAATGGACACATTCTTCCAAACAGTTTTCCAAACTGGTTGGACCATTTTAAATTCCTATAATCATTATAAAAATTACATTTAGGTGACAAACTTTATACATGGAAAGAATTTGCACTGAACAAATATTATAAAATCATATAATAGATTAGTCACAAAGTTTTATTTTACTGAAGCTACCTTTATTTTGAATGAATGTTAAAGTACAATGCGCTTAATATGAAATTATATATGACTTGAGCACCACTGATTGCTGATAACTTCGAGTTTTGAAAAATATCTCAACATCTTTGCTCTGTTACATGGAATGTCCATGTATGAAAAGATCGTGCATATAACTTGTCACCAGGGAGATGGTAATTAAACAATGAGATACCACAAAATGACCATTAAAAAGGGAGAGCAGTGACCACGCCAAATCCTGCCAATGAAGGAATCTTATTCATTGCTGGTGGGAATGCAAAATGATAGAGCCACCTTGGAAGATAGCTTATTAGTCAATCACAACACTAAATATACTCTTAGCATATTATCCAGCAGTTGCTCTCATGGTAGTAATACAAAGGACATGAACACCTATTATCAACATATCTTAGTTACTTCCCTTGTGGTTGAGACACAGTACCTGACACACACATATTGAAGGAGAAAAGTCCCATTTTCTGTTCTGTAGTTGTGAGTGATGGGTGGTCTTTGGAGTTGGAGGAGCTGTGTTTGGAGGATTGTGCAGAAGACCTTCTTCTCAAATCATTTTCATGCTGAGTGAATTTACTTGTTTAGGCTAAAGATCCCCAGTCCCAGGATTTCAGGTCCCTACATTCAGAAATTTAACAGCCTATTAACCCATAAGAGTAGTCAGTTACTGGTGTAGCTGGCAATTGTCAGAAGGTGATGGTGATTTGAGGTTCTTTTATAGCTAGCTTATTACCATGGCACTGTTTTATATATTTTCTGGTTATACTTTCTGCTGGATGTTCAAAACCAAGTTAAAATAAGACCTGTATTAATTAAAATTATTTCTTGCTATCTTTCAAGGGCAGTTAATTCTCTTCAGGATTGACCCTGGAACCACGTATAGCACCTCTCAGTTCTCCTGTCAGTGTCAGCTATTTGGATGAGTCACAGCCATTGCTTGACTGAGGTGCATTCTGTGAAAGCTTGGGAGATTTTTCTTTCCTCGTGACTCTCCTTAGGCACACTATACATTGTTGACCATTCCTCTATGGTTCAACAATTTACTTGGTCAGAAGATCCGGAACTCACCAAGTTATGGGATGTCACAGCAGAGGTTCTCTGATGTCCTGGGTCCTCATAGACCTCAGAGGGCTGGGGCTAAAATATTGGATGCACTCCTAGCCCATCTATATTTCCAGTTTTGGTCTCAAAACCTCAGCTGTTGAACATTCAGAAGAGAAGGTTTATGACATTACATTGTAATGGGAGAAGTGAGCCTAATGTTACAATTTTATCTAAATACCAGGCACCTTGAAGTACAAAGTAGAACCAACCATGGATGTTCTAGTAGTTGAATCCCTGCAGAATGTTAACAGACAACAGTTATATAGTTTTACACAGAAAATTAGAGATCAAATGCCGTACATAATATTGTGTGATAATCATGATGACACTTTGTAAAACACTTACATTTTCCATCTTTGTATAGTCAATATTTCTATCTAACACATAGGAAGCTTTTACCTAACTTGCTGACTTTTAATGGCATATCACTGAAGGAATCTGTGACATTGTCTGGACTGCTTAATGTATAGTGGCATATACATCACAGAAGTTTTGTTATTATTATTAACTGTTGAGCTCATGTTAGTTTGATTCAAACCTCCTATTACAAGTAGCTGGAGCACAAAAGACATGCAAGTGTCTGAATCTGAAAGAAAAAGTCTATCACTATAAACAATCCCTGTTTTACATTTTGGAAGACCTGAACATCTGAAGGCATGACTACATTTAATGCAACAAGAGATTAATAACAATTGTCATAGCCCTATGAAAACTTTGGTTTTCAATTTAATTTTATACCATTTCCAGGTCAGAAAACTTTATTGTCTCCTTTCTAGGAAATATAACCTCTTGATGATTACCACTGTAATCATATCACTGTAGTATATTTTTAATAAAATGTATTGGGATGTCTTCCACAAAGCTGGGGAGATCATTTATGATCTCCCTGTCATTAATGAACAAGGGCTTGGATATAATTTTTCCCAAGCAACTGCTTCTTTATTTACCAAAGGGAGCCCTGACCAATAATTCTCCAAGCTTGAAGGATCCCCATTTAGTTACTTTAACAAATTTCTGATGACTTATGAGAAAACCAATTTTGACCAGCTGGCAACCCAGATGGAAGATGCTTTTTAAAACTGCAAGCCAAATTAAGTTATAAACAAAATGATCCAAAAATGCAAAAGAAAAAGGAAAGAAAAAAATTGTTGAGTGCATATAAAAACAGTTGTGAACAGATTGGACAAACAGATAAACAAATACATACACAATCTTACAAAATTAGAGTGCACTCAAATTTTTTTTTGCCAAATTCAATTATAATAATTCTTTTATAATTTTAGAGATTTGTAATTATAAGTAGCCTAATAAGAACATTTTGTAGGTGAATTAGCAGAGATCTCTTATAAGAAGAATTTTATGAATTTTGTAGGGATGAATTTCCCTTTTTGTTTTTGTAGTTGAACTTTTGAGTGTACAGTCAGCACTTTCAACAATTCCTTGACCTTGAGGGTTATAAGGAATTCCCATAGTAAGGGAAAGTGAAAAGTAACAGTGACAGTCACCAGCAATTTGTCTATTGCAGCATTTCCCTTAGTGAGAGGTCCCAGAAATTGGGAGTGGGAACCCAAATGACAGATAAAACAGAGGACATGGCATGACCAAATGGCAAATTGGAGAGTCTGAAATAAGTGAAAAAGATCACCTATGTTTATAACAGCACAATTTGTAATAGCTAAATCTTGGGAACAACCTAAATGTCCATCAACAAAGGAATAGATAGAAAAGATGTGGTATTTTTATACAATGGAGTACTACTTAGCTATAAAGAAAGATAAACTTGAGGCTTTTATGGGTAAATGGATGCAACTAGAGACAGTACTCATAAGTGAAATAAGTCAGAATCACATGTGCAAACATTGTGTTGTCTAATTAATGTAAGAAACTGAAAGAGTAAATAAGATCCAAAAGGTAAAATAGATATAGTGAAAGGGAAAGAAACTGTTCAAAAGGAAAGAGCAACTGGGATGGAGAAAAGAAAGAAGGAAAAAAAGATGGGTATATACATAAGATAGCTAACATAATTGTACTACTACATTGAAAGGCACTATTAGTGCTTATATTGTTTGATCAATTTTGCATGCCTGTACCTGGTAATCTGAGCAATTACTTTGAAGATAACAATATGCAATATAATAACCTTTGTTAGTTTCCTATCATCTTGTTTTGAAATTCTGTATTGTTTTAAAGTGAGATGGCTGCAGCGTAGCAGGAGTCCTAATGTTCTTTGGGAAAAAAGTACATATACTCCAGTAGGAAGAGCTTGGAGTCCAATTTCAGGAATTCATGCAAATCAAGCCAAAGGAAGGACTGTGATCTAAGCCTTTGTTGTCTTTTCTGGTCTCTTTTTCTGTGTCTTTAAAATAAAAATTTTTTAAAAAAGATCTTTCTAGCCAGTGTGTATGGCCAATGGCAGTTTCAGTGTGGCACATCACACCACAAACATAAGAGCTATCTGAAAAGAGGTTATTGGGAATGGATGAATGATCTTGCAAAGCCTACATAGCAACGTGTAAGTCAGTCTTTTGTGTAGAAGGAAAATGTGTAAGTCAGTCTTTTGTGTATTCTGTATTCAGAAAGAGGAGGCCATTATAAAACTGCCCCTGCCTAAAGATGACCCATCTGTAAAATAGAGACACCTCCTGCTATAGGAACCAAGCTTATTTTTGAAGGGAAGACAAAGGGCATGAGGAAAGCAAACTGAATTAATTTGTCCGGTAGATAATGACAATCAATAACATCAGGGAAGTTAGCCAATGCAGATTGTCAAGAGAACAAAAATTGCTATGCTCACTGTTGTTGAGCATGTTGAACCATAATTTTGATCTCCCCTGTATAATCAGCATCAATGACACCAGCCAAAACATGGAGACCTTTCAAAGAGAGATGGCTCCAGCCTCATAGAAGTTCTACTGTTCCTTGGGGCAAAAGTCCATAACCTCCACTAGGAATAGATAGGGGTTCCATTTCGGGAGTTAGTGCAAATCAAGAGGAGAGACTGTGGTCTAAGCCTTTGCTATCTTTTGTAATGGCCATGTTGTGAATGGCCTCATGAGCAGCCTGCTCCATGCACAATGCAAAAAACTTTCTCTTTCACAGTAAACAATTCCCCATTCTTAAACATGCTCCAGCTATTCCCTTCTAATCATTTGGGGCTATAACCTGTTGTTCTGTGAGCTCTACAAAACTCAAGGCAAAAGAGACCACTAGGCCATAGGTAGTGCTCACTTGTTTTAAGTCTTCCAAGGTACTAAATGGTACAGCTTCATGAAGATACACAACCTGTCCTAGATTATTGGGGTCTTGGAGATCAGCAAAGGGTACACATGGTGAAAACTCTCCAGGATTCTCCCACCCGCTGCTTTTCCTCAGCACCAATTGCAAGGAAGAAAGAAAGGACAACTCTATTTTATGAAAGGTGGAAATAGCCCCTTGTGGTGCAGTTAAGGTTACCAGTTTTACTTTGGGTGGCTGTGAGATGGAAGTCACAGAGAAGCATTCCCCTAGTGGAGAAGGGTCTTCTTTGCACCTCCCCCAGCTCTTTCCATATCTGACTGAGGAAGAATACAGGGTTCAAGCTCTATTAGGATTGCTGTTGCTCCACTGTCCTTTTTCTGCTTGGGACTTAGTTTTAAGAGAGTCATCTGAGCCAAATCCTCTGTGATTGTCTCAGTAGGCATGCAATCATCGAGACACCCACTCATCCAGGTCCACACACAAAGAAAAGTAAATATGGGAATCAATAATATAACAAGCATTTGTATATACATCTGTTGTTCGTGAGAACCTGTTTGCCCCATGTTTTACACCTGATGAAATGCTCCTCATGAGCCAGTTTTGCTTCTTTGCTCTTTTGCTCTCTTTGTTTGTGTGTGCACTTGGGGGTGTCCTCTCACCTGCTGTATGACAAGTTTCCTCATGCTCCAGGTACTTGTTCTGGTGCTAAAATGCCACATCCAGCACAGCTCTTGAAATTCCTGGGAAAGGATAAAGGAATGAAGACAAAAGTCAGAATGCAGAAAGCTGAGGTCAGGTGGAGCCTCCTCTCCTGCTGGGAGAAAATCAGCTGCCCAATAACTGCAGCACATTTACTTATACACTTGGGACATTGATGAGAGGTGAAACCCCTCTGCCTAACAATTTGTTTGCCGGGCTCTCCTTGGACACCTCATGTTCTCTGAGCCAGCTTGGAAACGTAGCTCACCTCAGGCACTCTGTGTTCTCAGAGCTAGCCTTGCTCCAGCCCCACACATGTAATCAATCTCCAGCTTCAGTTGCTCCTCACAAGAAAGGTTTATTTTGACTCACAGATTGTAGAGTTTTCACTCCAAGGTGGAGCTGCGTGGCAGAACAGAAACAGCTCATGGCATGGAGGTAGGAAGCAGAGAGAGACCAAGGGAAGAGGGAGAGAGCTATATCCTTGCAGGCCATGCCTCCAGTAACCTGCCTCCTCTTACCAGACCTCACCTCCCAACATCACATTTAGCTATAAAGTCATCACTAAACCCACAGATGAGTATTATGCCCCCATGTCTGGATATAAACTATAACATTACACAGAGATATGGACAAAGATGTCTAAAGCAGCTTTAAAAGAAATGCTTACCACAATGTGAAGCAACAAGTTTTCCTTTAGTAGATGAATAGATAATTCCACTATGATATATTCAGAGAATAGAATATCATTTGGTGCTAAACACAAATGAGATATCAAGTCATGAAAAACCATGAAGGAAACCTAAATTCATGTTATTAAGCTGAAAAGGTATATACTATATAATTTCAATTATATAATCCTTTTAAAAAGGAAAAAGTATGGATACAGTAGAGATATCAGTGTTTGCCAAGGGTTAGGGAGGGGCAGATGAATAGGTGGAGGATAGAGAATTTTTAGAGAGAGTGCAATATCATATATGTTCTATAATGATTGATGCATATTTTTATACATTTGCAAAACCCATGTAATGAATATACAAACCAATACTAGTCCCTAATTTAAACTATCAACCTTGGATGATAATGATGTGGCAACATAGATCCAGCAGGTATAAAAATGTTCCACTCAGGTTGATAAAGGGAATGTGTGGGATTGGAATTTATATGGGATATCAATATGTCTTTCTCTCAATTTTATTGTGAACCTGAAATTTTTTAAAGGAGTAAAGTCTAAACAGTGTAGTGCAGATGAGTGGCAGAAGATGATCAATAATCATAATTTATAAAATATTTTGTATTTTCTGTCTTCTTGTAATATCTGCCTGGTCAACTTTTTAAAATATATAGTATATTTTGGGTCCTCATTCAAAATAAATATATTCATTTTTATAAAAGAAAAATACATATCTAAAGGATATAGAACAGGGAGAATAACCTTTATATTAGAAATAACTGCAATCACCCCTTTGAAATTTCCTATTTTTTTCTAATGTGTATAAAATATTCTCAGATTTGCTCTAGGGTTCCAGTTTACATACATATTTCTACAGACTGGACAGGACTTCTAAGGGTGTTGGAGATATTCCATTTCCTTAAGAGAATGATGATTTTCATGATTGTATTCACAGTATGAAAATTCACTTGACTGCACTTAAAATTTATGTACTCTTTTGCATGTATATTTTACATTGACAAAATAATTATTTAGACTAGAAATTAAATTTATATGCAATTTTAATTTGGACCCATGCTTTCCAAGAAGTTTTCTGGTTTGAAAAAAACACAGGAACTCAAGCAATAAACATGACTGTATGAAAATGAAAATTGTTTGGAAAATAATTTTCAGAATACTAACTCCAATTTGAACAGTGAAAGCATAGCAAATTAAATTCATTGTGTGTTTTAAAGTAAAAGAAAGTATGCTGATCCCTAATGATGTATACAAATATTAAAATAATATGCAAACCTACAGGGAGATATATGGAAAGAAATCAGGAATTATTCAGTGAAAAAGTAATTGGCAAGAAGGTATATATAATATGATGTATTTTTGAAATTAAATTTTAGTTTTCAGAACTTAGTTCTTGTCTGTTTTGAACTTTATATTTATGGAATTATAAAGTACTCCATTTTCAATACTATGGATCTAATTGAAGGCATTGTGCCTACTGAGGCAATTCTGCAGCCCAAAGCACGCATTCTTGAAATGTTACCAGATACATATAAGAGTAAGTCAAATGAAGTATTCCCAAATCTACCATCAGGATTTATAGCAATTAGGGATAATAGCAGATTTTCAATCAGTATATATAAATGATTTCAAATTTTCTTAAAATATCTGCACATTGATTTGGTGATCAAAAGAAATCTGTCTTAGTTGCTTTTCTCTCATTGCTGAGACAAAAATACCTGACACCCAAAGTTAAAGGGGAGAAGGTTTATTTAGCTCACAGTTTATAGAGGTTTCAGTCCATAGTTGGCTGGTTCCAAGGCACAGTGGCTTAGCAGAGGGACAAGGCAGAAGAGAACCAGCCCATGCAAGTAGAAGATAGCAAAAGCAAACAAACAAGGGAAAAAGGCAAGCCTCTTACTGTTGCTTACATATCCGGGTACCGGGATTAGGGCTGTGCCAAATCAATCAGTGGACTGAGTTAGTAATCACTCATTCCTAATCCTAGGACCCTTAATCTTAGCATTGCACCATGAATCAATCACACACTCTGTAGCCAACCATCTCTGAAATAGTCCCATCTATGACTGCATGAGGCTTTGCGGGGATATCTAGACACAAGCCTTAACAACAAGCATCTCTTTGTTACTAACTGTTTGGTCTTTTATTCTAGCCCTAGATCCATGACTTTTATTTCTTTTTTGACCTGACCATGGAGATATATGTTTTACAATATTTTAAGCACCTCTTCTACATGTTTTTATGGTAAGATGGCCTGCACTAACATAGTAAATCATTTTTTTAGATAGAAAATGTTCTATCAATTTTCTATACTTGTAGTCTATAATACTCAAATTCTCTATGATTACTCTTTTTTTTTTTCTAGTGAAATTACAGATTTGTGGTCTTTTTCTCATCCTCTAAAAGAACCTGTACTGGGGAAAAATAAAATATGCACTGAGTTTATTACTTTGATCTGATGTTATAATATTTATCCTATTCATTGATTCTGTTCCCAATCTTATGTTGAGCTTTGGGGGAATATGATTGATTAACTTACGCAATTATAAGGATGAAGAAAAGAAAAGCATAAAAACTACATTCCTTGATCATATTTATTACAGAAGATACTAAGAAATGACAGAGTATTTTTCTAATATCACGTTGGGAGTATCTAAGTCATTTAAAAATGGCAATTAACAATACTTGCTGATAATATGGAGCTAATGCAAGGATCTAGACTCTCCTGGTGAATGTTTTAGAGATGAGGGCCCAAATTGCAACCCTAAACCCACTTACATATTGCAAAATGCCAGCACTACAGTTGAACCCGATACTGAGATTTTAGTTTAGAAAAAAATGACTCATAAACTAACATTTTTGCCTTAAAAGAAAAACAAGTAACATGCATGCCATAGGTTTGCAACCACTGATCTAGAGGAACTAGAGGACTGGTCAAACAGAAAACACTGATAGTAGTCCACAGATCCCACAGCAATGAGTAACAAACGTGTGTACAGAGGAATATGTAAGACCTGTCAGAGAAAATTTTGGTGTCAGAATCTTTAAGCATGGTTATTTTTAATAATTGGCTACAATTTTTCAAATGTACATTTTAAAATAACCTATAAGGCTCATATGACACATTGGACAGGTTATTTTTAAGTAGTTATTCTTTCAATAAATTTTAAAACTGAACTTTGCTCATGCATTTATTTTCTACCATGTAATAAACAACAGCAAAAAAGCTCATCCGATTAAAAAATGAGTTCTATAAAAATGACAGAAAATTTGGCAGAAAGTATCAGTAGCCCAGAGGATTGTTATACTTTGTGATTGTAATTTCCATTATTATTGAAAACTATTCATACTTGCAATTCAGTTTCATGCCTGACCTGATGTTTTCATGTTTTGAGTCTGCAGGGCTATGCTAATTTATGAATTGTGAAGAATTTACTGAAAATTAATTTCCACTTATTGTAAGTGGCCACCTTGGGTGCCTTTGAATTTCTTCTGCCTAGAACTGGTACCAATAATTGATAATGATGAACAGTTGCCAAATCTCCATGGACTAGTTATGAACGTATTGTCTGGGATTTTTAATCCATTTAAGGAAGAATAAACTTTAGACTTTCTCTTTTGTCATTTTCTTATGTATTAGTTAAGATAATCAATTGTTTGATATTAACCATTTCCTTTTTTCCTCAGATTAATGTTACCTAAACATGATGTTTGTTAAGCTATACGTCAAACATCAGCCACGACATACATGCAACATGTGTTACAATGTCAAGAATAACTAATAAAACTGATAAAATCTACATTTTGCCTTACTTCAGCTGAATATTAATCTTGAGTTGGGAAGGTTATTATTCTTGGCTCATCTCTATGAACCAACTCTACTGCTTTGGACAAGATGTAACTTTCTGCAATTCATTATCAATATTTATAGAATCATTCAGTAGCATAACTCTACTGTGATTCTTATTTAATAACCTAAGAATTGTTTGATAAATATTATGTATTTTCTCTGTGTATAATATAGTTTGAATCATTTTGAAAATTGGAAACAATTTGTACTTATATTTGCCCCAGAAGAATTTGTGCAAAAGGATATGATGCAATCTAATAAAGAAAAAGTTGTTTCAATATATTATTTCACAAATAAAAACATAGTATCAATTATTTTTTAAGATAATAGAGCTGAAAACATCATGGAAAGGCAAGGAAGTATTTTAACAGAAAAACTTCAATTGGATGATTCATTTATACACTTACGCATCAATTAATTAAATATTTTCTAAGCCTATGGCAGGTGCTAGAGACACAGGACTTAATTGGCCTTAATCTCTATCCTCAAGAATCTTAGAA